TGATATCAGAGCGACAGGATGTGATGTCACAGTGTCATTATTTATTATCTGGTGGATGATTCTGTCCTTCACCTGAGGAAACGAGGGAAGGAAGGAAGGAAGGAAGGAGGGAGGGGAAGAAAAATCAAATGCGAAGAGAATTCATGAACAGCAGGAAGTTGCTCAGAACAGTTGCCATTTTTTCCATTAAAGGTCATGAAGACTGGAGCCGAGTCCAGTCTTGGACAGCCAATCGTGGTGAAGTGACCTCTGCTGCTGCTGCTCCAACGCCTCGGCTAATTTTAAACTTTATAGTTAACGAACAATTGATTCTCTTTCAACTTTTTTAGCTTTAATGATCAATAACACAGACGCCTGCTGACCTCTGCTGGTACCACAGTGGTAGAACATTTACTTTAAGCTTTATTTCTGTGGCAGAATCTACTTGAAGTGTCCATGGGTTCATGTTCAGTAATTTGATACGACAGACGACCCTGGAACTTTAAAATTCAAGCTCGAAAATCAAATTTCAAATAATGGAAACGTGAGTTTGAAGGTTGTTAAAAAAATGTTTGTTTCTTGAACACTTTACTCCGATGTTTTAATCCCAGTGTCGGCGTCACTCCTCACTTCCTGTCTGTGTTAATCCCAGGTTACTGTGTTTATTTCACCTTTCTTTCACTGCTGTGTTAACGTGATCTAATGAAGGATGAGTTGTTTTTAGATACTGATACTGATGATGATGATGATGATGATGATGATAATGATGATCATTATCATCATCATGATGAAGCTGGTAGTGATGATGTCATTAACATTAACTTTTAACTGTTTTTTTTTAATAAATCAATATGTTTAGTGTTCTATATATTTGATATGTGTTTGTAAATATAATAAATGGTCTCATGACTTTTCTCGGTGAGATTGACTGGTGAGGTGTTGTCACTTTAGACAACATTAACAGAAAGTTTTGGTACACAAACGAGACCAAATGTTTTTCAAAATAAAAGCTCCTCTGTCTGCGCGGCCGTTCTGATGCTGGATCACATAAAGCTATTTGGAAAATATTTTTGACTACCATTCTCATTTTTTCCTTTTTTTTCCTGTTTTATAATTGTATTGAGGGCTCGTCTTAATCATAGCCCCTTCTTTTCGGCGCCCCACGTAGCAGTAGAGCTTCAGAGCAGAGATATAGGCCACGCTCCATCAAGGGTAAATGCGCGTTTGTCTCCATCTAGTGGCTTAAAATAAAATTGCAGTTTATGCAATGTAAAGAAGGAAAATGAGAAATTGATATGCCCTACCATTAGTTGGGCAACTTTGTACCAATGTCTGGTGGACCAAAATAGAATGTCCAACCAGCTGCGTCCGTCCAGCAACTGTCCAGTCAGTGAGATACAGCACCACCTGCTGGTGGGTACTTTCCCCTACAACCAGGTCGTTTTGTTCATTTTTTAATAAATGGTGTCGGTAAGTATTCATCTTCCTCCCTCCCCCCTCCCCTCCTCTCCCCTCCTCTCCCCACGTTGTCATGGTGATCCCCGTCACCCACACTCACCTGTGATCTGTAATCCGACGCCGCAGACTGCAGCTCCACTTTCTATTGGTCGATCAGGTTACGCGCCTGATTATTGATCATTTAACTTTGATACTAAGACGATGTTCAACTCCTGAAGAGAAAATCCTCCGTGTTTTCGTCTGGAGTTCTGAACAGTTTCTTTTTAAAATCTTTTTGTTACTTTTGTTGGAGTCTCGAACCTTCGTTCACGCGGTTCTGGTTCCGGTCGGACGAACAGAGCGGCTCGGTGACATTACAACCACCGGTGTCATGATAAACTGATTCAGTGAAAAGAAAGAGTGAAAGAATGTGGGGCCGGGGGGGTTGAATTATTGATGAAGAGGAGTCCGCTCTCTCTCCCTCTCTCTCTCTCTCTCTGAGACTAACGAAGGATTCTCTCTCTCTCTCTCTCAGAGACTAACGAAGGGATGACAGAAGAGAAGAGGAGGGAAAAAAACAGGAAAACAAACAAAAATACAACAACGGAAGGAAGTTACAGGTAAAAAACAAAACAAAGTCTGAGGAGGGGAGGAAACGACTGAGGAGGGGAGGACAGAGGTGGAAGGACGAGGAAATGTACAACAACAGAAGGACGAGAGAAAAGTAGAGAAGGAAAAGATGTGAAGCAAAGACAGAGAGGAGGAAATCAGGTGAGTGTACTGTGTGTACTGTGTGTACTGTGTGTACTGTGTGTACTGTGTGTACTTAGCCAATTAGGGAGTAGAGTTTGATTCGATTCATTTTATTCACACATCGATAATTTATTGAAGTGCAGTTTCTGTTGGAGGAAATACTCCCAAATACTCTCTAAATTTGATTCGATTCATTTTATTCACACATTGATAATTTATTGAAGTGCAAAAAAAGTTGTAGTTGAAAACTATTTTCTCTGTGGATTCACTGAAGTCGTTCAAATACGGATTCAGACCTTGAACCACGAAACAACAATACTCTCATATCTATTACAAACAGAATCAAACTTACCTTTTGGTGGATTAATCATGATTAATCCTGGTTAATTTAGATAAATTAACCTTCCTAAATTATTGCTGGAACAGAGAGAGAGAGAGAGAGAGAGAGAGAGAGACCTCACAGACAGACGTCAGTTCATCTGGGATCAATTCAAAAAAGGAAATATTCACATGGATGAATGTCAAGAAGAATACACACACGTTAAGTAGTACAATTAGTTATTTTTTTAGTTAACGTTAAGTAGTACAATTAGTTATTTTTCTTCTTAAAAGTTCTCAAAGAACGTTTCCAGGTGGCGTCGCACCAGGAGCAGAACGTGGTTCCAGACTCTCCGTCAGTCTGGTCTGGTGCTGACCTCAGCTCTGTCTCCAGGTCTTCAACCAACATGTCTGAGGAGAGAAAAGTGGAAGAGGAGGAAGAAGAGGAGGAACAGGAAGTGACCTGTCCTCCCATTCCTCCATCCTCTGCTCCCATGGAGCCTGGAATGTCACTCAGGAGGCGGGACCTGGTCTGCATCGTATGTTTCGGTAACTATGACCTGGCCACGCGACTGCCGCGGCGACTGCACTGTGGCCACGCCTTCTGTCAGGCGTGTCTGAAGAGGCTGGACACTGTCATCAACGAACAGGTGAGAGAGGTGTGACGTCATCACGTCTGAGGTTCAGGTCGCTGAAGAGGAAGAAGGAGAGGCCACAGACAGGGTGTTAGGTCAGAGGTCATCAAGGAAGTGAGGTCACACTCTGGATTTATAATTTGAATTGGTCTAAACTGGAAGAAGCTCCTCGGTAGGTCTGAGTTGGTTTGGTTACGTAGGTTGATTTGTGACTGATGTCAGAGGTCAAAGGTCAGTAGAGAAGGTCGCAGACTAAGAACTGGGCCTGAACCGAGTCACTGCAGTTTTCTTCTCATTAGAACATAAGACGTTCATCGTAAACATTCCAGTTGAAGTCGATCGTGTTTTATGTGTTTTAATGTGGTTTTGAGTGAAGGTTTAAGGGGTGAGGTCTGTAGACTACACCTTCAACTTCTCCACCTCCTCCAGGTGTGGATCCCATGTCCTCAGTGTCGACAGAACACTCCTCGGCCCAAGGGCGGAGCAGCAAGTCTGGACCTGGACCTGGCCTCCTTCCTGGGGGTCAAAGCCCAGCAGACCTCCTCGTCCTCCCCTTCCAGAAAAACCACCGGCAGGGAGGGGGCGCCACCTGCAGGCCCAGAGCATGACGGGAAGCTGTGGCTGCGGAAGGAGGCGACGGAAGACAGCTGGTCTCACGGCGGTCTGGCAGAGCCGCGATTCCACCGCTACGCTAACTGCTGTCCGCCGCTCTCCTACTGGCTGTGCTGCTGGTCATGCTGTCCTGGGCGGGGCTAGTTTAAAGTGGGCGTGGTTTAGACAGTTTAAATGAGGTAAAAACTTTATTAATACTGTGACCATTAATATTCCAACACAAATGCAGATGTTTACATTCAACCTCCGGGGTGGGAGGGGGGGGCAGTGGAGGGGGGGTTAAAGTTTAAAGACAGTTCAGGTTTTGTGGTGATGTCAGAGCTGACTTTGCTGAGAGCGCCCCCTGCACAGAGAACCAGACTTCGACAGAGAAACTATAAAATAAAGCTCAAGCCGTTACTGTGCAGGAATCAGTGTTTCCATACTGGTTCTGACAGCTAGAGGGTGCTGTAGGTGCAGCCTGCTAAGATCATATGCAGTAGTGTTGCTCAAAGTCCGGACCAGGGTCCACATCTGGACCCCGGGGTGAAAAGGTTTACGTAACTGACATCATGCCGTGGAGCTGGTTGATGATCAGATCTGGACCAGAGTTGGAGAAGCTCTGATGTTCTGATGTTGGACATCATCCCTCATACAACCACACTGGGAATAAAAGTGTATTTATTGAACTGGCCTTGTTACAATGATGTATTTATCACAGACAAAAATGTAAAAAACACAACATTAATAATAAAATATTGTCTTTGGAAAACAAAAAAAAACAAACCAAACTTCCACCGACAGGAGAAAAAAAGAAGGAGTTCAAAAAGCGGTTCTTCTTCGTTTGTTCTTTGATGACATCTGGCGTCTTTAATGTTCCAGTATCTGATGGTTCTCAACATAAAAGACAACAAATATTTATTGGCAACATTAAATGAAAACCCGTTCTTTTTGTGGTGTGTTTTCTTCCCATGACGAGGCAGAAGGCACTGAGAGTCAGAGTCGGTTCATTCGCTCACACAAGTTCCCAGGCTGACGATGAGGCTCAGCCAATCAGAGGCTGCCGAGCCCCTCCCCTACTCTGATTCGCTGTCCTGGAAGCAGGTTGAATTTGAAGTCTTTAGGCGCCTCGAACAACAGAACGATGGTGGAGCCCAGGTTGAACTCTCCGAGAAGCTCGCCTTTGTGTAAGGCCACGCCCTCTTTGTCCAGACAGACCACGCCCCCGTCTGGTTTTGACAAATTGATGGTCTCTGCGACGTAGCTGCGGTCGTGGAAGGAGCCTTTACTGTAGCGAGGGACGTTGGTGTGCAGCTCCTGGTGACAACAAACAAACAAACAAACAAACAAACAGCTGTGGTCGATGGCCGCGGGATAAACCAGCACTGGTACCAAACTGGACTAAATAAACCAAGTTACCTGGTCGAAGTAAACCCTGATGGAACCCACGTTTGTAGCTCCTACGGCCGTTAATGAAAAAAAGCCGTGCTGCCATTGGCCGGTGAGGACCACGCGCTCGTTAAGACAGAAGAGTTCTTTGACCCATCGAGCCACACCAGGGTTAACGGACATTAAAGAGCCTGCAGGGGGCGAACAGGAGGAAGATGTGAGGTGTAGAAGCAGTTACTGTGTGCTCCAGCAGAGGGAGCTCTTAAATACAGTGCCATGAGCTTAGACATCTTTGAGTGACTTTTAGACACAAAGTTGTGATTCAGTCTTTGGAAAAAACGGTTCCTCAGTATTAGCGCCACATACAGTATGTCGACAGAACTGTTCTGATTTAAATTCAGTTTAAACAAATATGAAAATGATTTTAGCTGACTTAAATGTTAATAGATCTGGTTATGTGTAATATAGGGCTCTCCGATATAGGCCGAGCATAAGATGAAATGCTGCCATCTAGTGACCTTTATACAGCCAAAACTATTTTTAAGTCATCATTCGGCGAAACCCAGGCATTGCCTTATCGGGTTTTCATTGTCGGAGGAAAAACTGTTAACGATTCTTACAGATACATAATATGCTAATATCGAAATCGATAATATTATATTATATTTATTTAACGGAACACACTCACCAGGGAAGTGCCGTCTAAGCGCCACCTTCCAGTCAGTGGGGGAATGGAAACAGTGATAATCACCAGGAGCCAAGTAGACCACCACATGGAACAGGTCGTTTTCAGGAGACGACAGCAGGAGGTCCTTGAACGAGGAGGAGGACGGGGAGGAGGGGGAGTAGGAGGAGGAATCTACAGACCAGGACAGAGAGGAGGAGTCAGATCAACAGGTGCGTTACCTCATCCGGTCTCCAGGTGGTGCTGAGGTGAGCGGGTGAAGCATTACCGTTGCTGAGGTGCTGCTGTGGACCCAGGAAGGTCTCCAGACTGTAGGTGATGCCCTTCACCTGCTCCACCTCCGAGTTCTTCACCTGGCCAAAATGGAGGATCCGCCCATCTGCCGGAGAAATCTGACAGAGACAAACATCTGCCAATGAGACGCCGTACACTCTAGACGTGCAGTCATGTGAGCACGACGTGACCGTGATGTCATTTACCACACAGGAAGCTGCACAGAGCGGCCGCACCGCGGGTTTAAGACGCCGTCGGAAGAATTCGCCCAGATTCCTGTAGTGATGCAGGTCCTCCACGGCTGCTTCCTATTGGACAGAAACAAATGCTTACGACAAAAGTCACATGATTGCAATCATCCAATGACAGGGCCTTACCTGCATGTTGACCCCAAACGTCCAGATGTACAGCGAGTACAGGGGCTTCCTCAGCCAGGTGGGGAGTTCCACCTCATTGATGCGACCCCAGGTCCGAGAGATGAAGCGCATGGGGAAGGAGCGATACAGCGCCACCTATATGGAAAAAAAGGCAAACTGATAGGTTATACACATTTGATAATAATCTTATTTTATACCATCAATAGGAAAGGAAAAACAGAAAAGGCTGAGAGAGAGAGAGAGAGAGACGCTGGGGGCGGAGCTATTTTACCTGTTGTTATGACAACAAAAAAATAATGAACTTTGAATTGAATGTTTCTGGGTTTTAAAGCAGACCTCTTTCATCTGACGTCAGCATCACAGTCACACTTTCAGTCTCATAATACTGGCACCTGTTAGCGTTATGCTAAGTCTGTAGCGTCAGTCTTGTAAATACATAACAAACCAATGCAATGCAAATGATGAACCAGTAGGGTCCTCACCAGAGAAAACTACACTGACAGCAAAAGGAAACAGGTGACAGGAAGTAGAGGAAATCAGACAGAAGGAAGACGGGATCTGACACAATGACATCATTTCCTTTCTCCAGGTTAACTTCACGTCCAATCAGAGCTGCTCTTACCCGGTTGGCTAAAGGCCGCAGCGCACTGACTGAGAGGACATAGCAGAGGAAGGCAATAGGGCGATGGCGCCACGGGGCTGGGCGACACACGCCGCCTCTGAGCGCAGTCAGGCGATGGCGAAGGTCCAAACGTGGCACCTGGAGCCTGATTATTCCAACAAAAGTTCAAAATCACTTCGACACAGTTCACCAAGTATTAAAAGGTAGAAGTCAAAGAAAGTTTTCAAAGATATACAGTATATTGCTTGATTCTCTCCAAGGGAACAAAAAAAACGGTCTCTTCCTCCAAAACATTTAAACACATACACGCTCACATACACAAGGCAAATGTACAAGTATTATTGTTTAAGGGTTTCTTCACGTGCGCTTCCCTTGTGTTGCTCTAGTGCCCCCCAGTGGATGAACTCCGCCCCCACAAAAAACGCAACAAAAAACTCCACGTCTAACGGACATCGTTAAGTATTATTGGAAGTGTTTCCATACGAGTAATAAACTGTCAACTGTGTTTCCATACGAGTAATAAACTGTCACTGAAAATGTGACACTTTGTTAATTAATGTTGTTAAGTTATCCTATACACGACAACTTTTCCAAATCATAGAGGATTAATATAAGTCCGAATAGCAATAAATATAAAACACAAGTAAGAAAAGCGCGGGGCTGGTTCAGGACGAGGAGGAGGAGAAGGAGAACGAGGAGGAGGAGGCGGCGGCGGCAAAAATAGACAGGGGGAGTAAACACACAGCTAAGCTACATGACTTTAGCCAAAATACCCACAAGGATGATGGGTAATTTGGCTCACATACGGGGTGGCTGTGAGCTTGCAATAACTGGGGTGTTAGCACAGCAGCTAACTGGGTAAGCAGGTTAGCAGAGGATCAATGGGAAGCAGGTTAAGCTGGGCTAAAGCTTAAAAAAGTGCACAGGTACGTGCACGTAAACACATCTTCTCTGTTATTCCTAAATATTCTTTTTTTTTTTTTCCTGGACAACCTGCCTTCCTGCGCCTCCATTCCCACCTGAATCGTGCGGATGCTCTCATCCTCACCCCCCTCACTCCTTTTCTTCCTCTCCCTGCTTCTCTCTCTCGCTCTCCATCATCCGTGTTTCGCTTCAGCCGCTTCACCTGCCGCAGCAGGTCACGCCGCGGCTGCTGCGGTTGCTGCTGCCTGTTGCTGCCGCCAGGGCGGCGAGAAAAAGAGCTCACCATGAGCGAGTGTTGGCTGACAGAGGTGAAGGATAACACATCCTGGGAGAGCAGCAGCAGGGGTGGTGAGCAGACAACCACGACCCTCCGACGGCTAGGATCCGCGAGAGACACAGACAGTGTAAAGACAGGGGAGACTGGAGCGACGACTGACGGGTGAGGTGACAAGTTTGCTCTCACCAAGCAGATTATTGTTCCAGGTCGTTAGAGAAAAAGAGCTCAGGAATAAATACCCAGGAAACTCCTCCCCCTTCCTCCCCCTTGTCCCCTTCTTCTTTGATATCATCATCATCATCACTGCTTATTTCTCTAAATGTTTTTTTAACAAAATAATTGATTTATTGTATTTATAAATTGTATTTATTTAAGTATTTGTGATGTTTTTATTTTTTATTATATATGAAGTTTGACTTAATTTTAAACATTCATTTAGTTTCACGTTTAATCACATTTAGTCATATAGATATATGTATTTACAGTATTATAACTATTTCTATTATTATTTATTGTAATTCATTAAATGAACGCAGGGCTGTTGGTTATTAAAACACGTATAATTACAACACAGAAAACTTAAGAAAAAGTCAATCCGGAAACTATTTAAATGAATGTTTATAAGTGGACTTTCTCCATTTAACAAAGTCTGCCCAGCCCGCCCTTTTCCCCCGGTGACAAATGAACCAATCAGATCATTCACTGTATACTCTCAGTGAACACACCACCGTGAGGAGGGGCGGGTGCTGGGGGCGGGGGTCGGGGTGGTGATGTGTCAGTGAAGAGTCACCGGTCAATGTGACAAAAATCACATTGACAACGTTCTCAACTTTGACACAGAGAGCCAATCAGAGAGCGCCATCTTCAACTTCACACATAAATAAATAAATATGATGAAAGTACAAACAGCATGTTTGCGTTTTACAAACACAAGCGCTTTTATTGACTCTGTCAATCACGTAACTTTTGGCACCGTTACTGTCTGTGCTGTGTGGTTGTTACGTCATCAGGTGGTGCAACCTTTAAGCTTTATATAAGATTGCGTGTGATTTTACTTCCTGGTTTATTAGGAAAGAATAGAAAAAAAAACCTTTATTGTCATTTCAAAAATGGCTCCGCCCCCCGGGTTTGAGTACGAAAGTATGAAAAGGAAGTGAGAGCAGCGAAGAGAATTAAACTTCCTGTACCTGTGTCGGTGAGGCCGGACTGGGCGGTGCTCCATCTTCCTGCAGACCCTTCTTTCTGTAGTGCTGGTAACCAAGGTAACCGCCGCCTGTCACCAACAGGAGAGGGAGGGGGCGGGGACGAGGCAGCAGACTTCTGCCTGAATACATTTAAATATATATATTAGTGAACGAAAATGATGTTTTTCAACTGATATTTTTTAATTACTTAGCGATGTGAGTCCATCCATGTTATTTTTAGACGCTTGTTATAAATGTTGCTAAGAACAAATCAAAAATCCCCGAGACCTTACTCGACAAACACATTTTGATTAAATTTGTTGAACAAAACAAAAAACAATCGACTGATTTCTTGTAATTAACAAAACAAAAAACAATCGACTGATTTTTTTAAAAATTATTATTTTTGGACAAAAATGTGTCCGTTTGAATTCCACAAACATCATTATGACCAAAATCACAAATACGATAAAAGGATAAACTCACCGGTGCTGAGGTTAAGTTGCTGTTGTCTTCTACAGCTTAAACCAGAAACTCTGAGAAATCAATGTGAAACAAAATACATGTGATGGTGAGTCACAAAACCATCACTATGACGTCACTTCCCTGAAATATTAGCATCTGTTTCCCGTTAATAATAGTATTAGAACAGCGAATATCTTTGTTCACAACGCATTCAACAACACACGTGACCAGTAGACGCAGCCAGCCACTTCCTTACTCAGAGGGCGCTTGCTCTTTATGAAATCGAACATTTAGATATAAATCTAAAACAAATAGTTAATTCTCGGGTTATTTCAACCAAGCCGAACTGTCCGTCTTCCGCATCCATACGTCACGTCTTTATGCTTTATGTATCAACTTCATAGATCAGCCTTACAAATGTATTCAATACTATTTTAACACTAACTCTGAATTAGGTCTGGTGCATAGAAATCCTTGATAGTCTTTTTCAACAATGGCAACGCTACACGCACGTAACTCTTAAGGCCACACGTCAGTTACGCATGACAATATGTTCACTGTAATGTTTTATAAATATTTAAAAAAAAAAAAAACACATGTACGAACCGGGAAAAGAGTACGCAGCGAACTGTCCATAAGGGGGCGGCCATGATGTGGTTTGTGAAGTGACGTCAAAACGTCTTCTTCTTAGGATTAAAAGCCACCTTGGAACCACGGAGTATCGCGACTGACACCTTCTGGTGTTAATGAACTCCAACACGATAAAACTTGTGCTTTCTGTCACTGGTATATGACGTTTGCGGGTACTTTTTGTAACTTTTTTACACAAGGACATTTGGGTCTGGTTGTTTTTATATCAAAATGACGTATAATGACAAGCAATAAAGTATTTGTTTTAACGAGGACTAAATGCCATCGTGTTTCCAAATACATGTTAAGACAAAAATAAAGTGAAGGAAATGTAACCACAATATATACCTTTATTATCAATGTTGATAAAAATAACCAGCTGAGAAAAAATGACCAGGAATACGAGAATTCCCTGGATCTGTGGGTCAAATACTCAGAGCTGATTTTAATCAATATCCAGTGATAATACAATCAATAACTCAGCACAGTTCCACAGGTTGGTATACAAACCTTTTCAAGGATTAAAACCTCTTATCACTTGGTATACAAACCTTTTCAAGGATTAAATACCCACACGGTATCCCTCACTAGAGGGCAGTGTCACCAGAAGATGCATAATGAAAAAGAATGTGAAATCATATGAGCAGGTTTGAAGTAAAATAGGTTAAAATTTAAGTCAAAGTCATACACAAAAAAATTAGGTTTCAAAGTTTTAAAGAGTTCTCTGTTATATACGACAACAGCAGTGGAAACAAATAGATTTTATTTGTTCCAAAAATATATACATTTGTGCACAAAAATAAATTACAGTGTAAAAATATCGACCAGAGAATCTATCACAGCAGGGGGCATCATTCACACTATCGCTAATGCTTAAATATTTACTAAACTGTTAAAAAAAAATTGATGAAACGTCAAGTACACAGTAAAAAGTGAAGTCTGCTAATGACACTGCCCATGCCAACGGTGTTAGCATGACAGCGCAGCAGTTAGCAGTTGTGCTAGCAGCTTGTTCATTTGGCCTTTGTGGCAGGCAACATGACGTGCTGTTCCTCCTCACTCATCCAGGCCCTGCTGTATCAAGTAGTGTTCCAGTGCGCTCAGTCGTTCCACCAGCATCACGTCCAGGTCAGGGTCGTCCTCTGTGGAGCTGCCGCCGTGGCAGTGTCGACGGGCGGCGACACGTTTTCTGGGCGCCATAGCGACAGGAAGCCCTGCCCCTAAAATTAATTTTTTTTTTTTAAAAAACAATATTTTACAAAACCCATTTTTTTTTTTAAAAAACAATATTTTATAAAACAATATTTTACAAAACCTAATCCTCACAGCATCAGATTTTAAAACATACCTTGCATTCTTTTTCTCTTCCTGGGCTGAGTGAAGTCAGGGAAGAGGAGGACCCTGCGTCTCCTCTGCTGGCCAATCAGAAGCAGAGCCCCATTCTTCTCACGTGGCTCCTCAAAAATGGTCTCCAGGCTCCTGCAGGACAACAGCAGTAACGTTAGCTACTGGTTTTGGCTACATTTGTTGAACTCTCTGGGCTTTGGTTTGGACGTTTGAGTCTAGTTTTTATATGTTTTACTGAACAGGCAAATATTGTTTGACATTAGTGGTCATCATGAGAAGACCTTTAAGGAAGACCTTTAGCTGTCATTGTCGATATCCAATATGCTGATATTGTCCGAACACCTAATTTCCGATTCCAATTCCAATACCAATCGATACCGACACAGGCCTGGTGATATGGATTTATTTATCTGTAAAAACCACTGTATGAGTTCTGCATACAATCCTCTGATTATTGAAATAGATTAATAAAATGAGCACCAATGCTGCCACCTAGTGGCTTTAACTTTAATATACAACCGTTTATCCCAAAAATATTTTTCCAGCACACATCATTAGGTGAAACGCAGGCATTGTGTTATCGGGTTTTCATTATCGGAAAAAAAAAACTATTCTTACAGGTGTTACATAATTATACTGCTATCGACACCCGTAATCTGGTCTACTTCTTGGCTAAGCTGCCAGTAACCGTGTTGTAGTTTACCTGTTAGTGTTCGGGTGGTCATTAAAGTTCTTGTTTGTGTAAATCTCCTCCAGACTGAACTCCTTCTTTTTTAACCTTAAAAACAAACAAACATTAAATGTATTTATTTACATAGTTGTTTGAACTTTCACCACTTCTACTCTTCATACCGTTTGACTTTTGGCAGTCCCATCGGTGTAAGCAGAGTTTCCTTTGGAGACGTGCGGCGGATCCTGATCTGGGAAACGCGCTTGGCACGCTGTAAAAAAAAAAACAGATCAATAATCCAAAAATATAAACCTGTGCAGTACGACATGAGCAGGAAATCTAAAAAATATCCAGCGTGGGAAAAAAAAAAGAAAACTTCACCTCTCCATTTTTGCTGAGGAACTCGGAGCCGGCTGCCGATTGGCCGGCAGGAATTTGAGTCAGCAGCCCATTGGTTGAACACGGAGGAAGGGGCAGAGGTTGATGTCGAGGTGGGGCTGACTCTCCCATGCTGCCATTGGTCCGCTGCTTCTTTGGTCGCCGCGGGGAATCGGTTGTGCTACAGTGAGAGGATCAACGACACGGATCAGTCCACGTCAGAATCAGAACCGACCCAAGAGACTAAGGTGCAGGTCAGAACTGACGATTCAACGCTAATAAAGTCAGAATTATGAATATATTCAACAATAATCTTAAATAGTGACGTGAAGTGAATCACCTTGTTGTTAGTGTTCGTACGTAACTGGAAAAAAAAAGAGATCAGGATAAATGATTGGTTCGGATTTTAACTCATCACAATAACGTTACAGTAAACCTGAACCAACCAGTGATCTCGGCCAAGGCTGGGCGGGGCTGTACAGTCCTTCAGTGGCCAATGAGGACTTGCAGAACGCTCCCCCCGAAACAAGTCTGTCAGTTTCGTCACAGAGGCTGTTGACGGCCGAAACATGGAGGCGGGGCTAAAGGAAGAAGATGAAGCTGAAGAAGAGCGCAGCCACAGGAAGAAAGCAGCGGGGCTGAAGGAGACGGAAGGGGCGGGGCCAGAGAGTCGCCACTGGTCCAATGAGAAACTAATCCTTTCTGATTGGCTCTCGACAGGAGGGAGAAGATGGAAGCTGGCGGCAGAGCTAAGAGATAAAAAAAGAAAAGATTTTAACAACAAAACTGTAGTCACATCCCCGCCCTCCCCCTTCATACAGCAGGGGGAGTGTCTCTCGCCCTCTCTCACCTGTGCAGCAGCAGCGACGCTCTGTAACTGTTTTTCTGGCCGATGACACAAACAGCCTGTTCTGATTCGCTCTTTTGCACCTCCTCTTCTTGTGTAGCGTCCATGTCATTTTGCCGGAGCTGCACCTGCTTCTCTTCAACTCCTTCCAGCTTCTCGGCACCTCCTCTGCTGCAGAAAACAACTCCTGCAGGATCCTCTCCTCCGTCCTCCTCCGTTGGCTCTCTCCTCCTCTTCACAGTATTCTCTCTTCCTCGCTGTGATTGGTTCACACAGGAAAGAAGGGCGGGTGTCAGCGAGTCCTTCATGTCTACGGTTGGAGAGAGGATACCAGAGAGGGTGGAGGCGCGGCCGCAGGAGGCAGAACCTGCAGGAACATTGGTTCAGATGCAAGAACCTCAACCTCCACAGATTTACAGACAACAATGAAAGAAGAAAAAATATTCACCAGGAGCAGAAGTTGCTCCTCTTCCACCTCCACCTCTTCTCTTTCTCCCGTTCCTCCTGGTGTTCCTCTCCAGAACATCCAGTCGTCGGCCAAGAGAAGCCATAGCTCCTCGAAGGAGGCGTCGCATCTCTGAGCGGTGAGCTGAGAGGAGGCGAGGTAACATGGAGGAGCAGGAACAAGGTGGAGGAGCTACAGGAGGAGGGCAGGAAGAGAGATCTGAACAAACAGCAAGAGGAACAGAGAGAGCAGAGGGAGGTGGTGGGGAAGGAGAACAGGGGGAAAGTGGAGAAACAGGGGAGTAGGATGAATGGGTAGAAGTAAGAAGGGGTGGTGAAGAAGAAGGAGAAGAAGAAGGAGAAGAAGGAGGAGGAGGAGAAGGAGGAGGAGGAGAAGGGGGAGGACCTGATGGAGGAGTAGTTGAGCTGTGACTCACAGAAAGAAGAGAGAGAGAAGGGACAGTTTGAGGAAAAGACGGGGGAGAACGTGAGGACCATAAAGAAGCAGCCGCTGTGGGAGAACGGGACGATGACGATGAACGAAGGGAGTGAGGGGAGAGAGACAGGGCAGAGAAAGAGGAGGGCGAGTGGAGAGGAGGTGATAAAGATGAAGATGACACAGCGGGTGAGGAAGAAGATGGGAGAGGGGATGAAGAGGAGTTCCAATTCGAAGGAGCGAAAACTCCTGCAGAGAAGAAAAAAAAAACAGACGTCAACACCAGCTCTGGGACTGAGGATGAAGGATCAGGTTCAAATCTCTGTTACCGGGTTGGTCATCTAAGGAGAGGACAGGTGCCCGGCCCCGCCCACCGCTGGCCCTCTCACTGGGCGCAGGAAGTCGAGAGAGCATGGTGGACTCTGAGCAGGAGAGAAAGAACGAGGTTATTGTTTTCTTTTTAAATGCTCCTAATGGAAAAGAGAGAGAGAAGGAGGGAGGAGTCGGGGGCGCAGTGAGTGTGTGGCAAAATATGGCATTAAGTGCCATAGTCAGGTTTAGACTGTGCTGTATTCTCCATGTGGACTCTGTGAACACTGCACTTATATCACAAGCTATCTGTATATTTTACCTTTCATTAATTTTAATCATTATTTATTACAGTATTTGCAAATGGTCTAAAAACCCAACCTCAGTTAACAGTGACGTCACAACAGACAGAACCTTCGGTCATAAACTGGTAAGAAACACGGGGCAGATGAGGCGATGCTGTCGGTGAAGCTGCCTCGTTTTATTTATCTAGTCTCGCGTCTTCTCGCGTCACTTCCCTCCTCCAGATTAAGAAAAAAGCAAATCAGAACAGTAGTTGAGGTGTTCGCTAATTCGCCTATTCTGAAACTCAGTGACGTGACAGACACTTGACGTCACCATTCGGTTAATTTTTTTTACAGAAAAATTATGGGGAAAACTGGAATATGACGGGTAAAATATGGGGATTCAGAGGAAACAGCACAAACTCTGTGAGCTAGCTGTGGCTAACAGCCCTTAGCACGTACTGCTGCTCATTGTGACTTCAACTTCACACCGGGAGATTTTTCAACATTTTTCTTTTACCTGTTCTAAGACAGCGGCTCCTTTAGGCTTCGATCATCCGGTTAGCGCTCATGTTTGACCAAAGTTTCCAAAGCGGTCGCTGCTCATTCCAGCATCAGACCAGCGACAAGCTTCTGAAAGTCGCAGTGACGTCACTTCCGCCACCCTCCTCTGTCATGCATGCTAAACGATATATTCTTTTCCGTATTAAAAACAAACAAAATGCTGTGAATGAAGAGGGCTCAGTGATCAAAAGACAGAGAAACAGAGGGTAATATTATTATTAAAAGAAAGTTTTGTCTCTATTTGTCCTGAAATTGTTGTACTGGTTGAAATTGTCGTTTCACTGGTTGAAATTGTCGTCTTCACCCGATAATGATGTGTCTTTGGTCTGACAACATTCATTTAATTTGTTACGCGAGTGCGTATTTGCTCTGTTTCATAATATATTAATGTTTGTCTTGGAATTTAATAAAAGCAAACATTCAATGAATTTGTTTAGTTTTAGAGGTTTTTTTTGTCTCCCTCTAGTGTCGTGAGTTTTTGCCCAATGTTTTTACGGAGTTAAGTAACGACGTTGTTTTTGTTCCGTGCTCTATGGCACGTACTGCATTTTCAACGGCAGCTGCTCTGACGGAATTTTCGAGAACTTTGTTCAGAGACTCTACGGTGGGTATGAAGAGAAATCTGTGATCCGTCAGCTGATGTATAATACAGTGAGTGGCAGTGGGAGTAAGGTTGTTATTTTTAAACGGGATCAGCGGGTGTTCTGAAGTTTAGTCCGATGTTTAACTTCACTAACTTTATTTCGCGTCCTTTCCTGTATGTTGCAATCTTGAAACATGAAGAAGTTTCATTTAAATCCCTGGTTTCTGTGTTAGAGAACCAGTGACTGTTGAGACTGAGCTTCTCCATCATGTTGGAGCGTCTGCTGGTGCAGCCTTGTCAGGACCCTAACCTGATCTTTCTACTCTTTTTCTCACCCTCCTGCCACGACCACAGGGGGGTGCAGTAGGTGAAGAACCTGGTATAGACTGGACGATCCACGACCACGTCTTTGGCACCAGTCTCCCCGCTGCTGCAGCTCCTCCCTCTTTTTGGCGATGTTGCCAAAGTAAAAGGATAAACTTTTAGTTTTTCACCTACTTTTTATCAGCAGTGCGGAATTTGCACCCAATCACAGTCCAGCTCTAGGTTTGACCTGCTTTGACCAGTTACAGTGAAAACTAGGCCAAACGGTGGTGTTGTTGGTCCGACCATGAAACAGTTCCTCCTCCCCTCCGTCCTGATCGTCCTCCTCGGCGTCGGTGTTGCCAGCGGCGGCCATGTCCTGGTGTTCCCAGGTGAGTACAGTCATTGGCTCAACATGCGGAGCATCATGGACGAGCTGGTGCGGCGGAACCACTCGGTTACTGTTCTAGTTTCCGACGCGTCGCCGTCCATCAACTACAACGACACCCGTGACGCGGCCAAGTTCAACTTCATCGTCTTTAGGGTAACACTTTAGGTTTATTAAAGGGATGTCTGATGTATTCTGCATACAATCCCCATATTGTAGCGGTTAGCACGCCTGGCATGTCTTGGGTTCGATTCCCTGAGGAGCCACATGTTTAATTGTTCATCAGTCACTTTGGATAAAAGCGTCTGCTAAATGCATAAAAGTAAATGTAAATAATTATTAAAATAGATTCATTAAATGAGTTGCAATGCTGCCACCTAGTGGCTTTTATATGCAGCGTTTTTTCCCGAAAACTATTTTTAGGTCACATCATCATCATTTAACAAATCCCAGGCACTCGGGTTTTCATTATCGGAGGAAAAACGATAACGATCCTTACAGATATCGTCAGACATCCTCAGTTTTTTATTGTCTCCAAACCTGTCCTGGTGGTGAACGGAGACTTTACCGTCTCTTCTCTAGGTCCCGTTCAGCAGAGCGGAGATCCACGGCGTGACCGAAGACTTCGTCTATTTCTCTACCTACAAATCACAGCAGGCGTCTGTGCTGCAGAAGATGATGATGATGCAGAACTGGCTTCGCCAAGCAGTTCACTTCGGGCTCCTCCAGTGCGACGCCATGTTGAAGAACCAGGAGTTGATGGCAACCCTGAGGGATGCCAGGTTTGATGCCGTCCTGCTGGACCCCATGATAATGTGCGGCGACCTGGTGGCCGACGTGCTCGACCTGCCGCTCATCGTCTCTCTACGCTTCTCGTTCGGTAACGCCATCGAGCGTCTCTGTGGCCACGCGATGGCGCCGCCGTCGTACGTCCCGGCTGCACCGCTGCCTTACAGAGACAACATGACGTTCAGTGAACGGCTGGTGAACGTGGGGTTGTATGTGTTCACGTCTGCCATGTCTCAGTGGTTCTGGAGGACAAACATAGATCATTACTACAGCGAGATTAAAGGTCTGTGATGTCACTGGGGTCGTGACCTTTGACCAAGGCAGAGGTCAGTGACCCCACATCAATGACGATAACATTTACTGTCCATACAGGGAGACCCAGCAGTGTGTGTGAGAGCCTGGGCCGGGCGGACATCTGGCTCATCAGAACCTTCTGGGACATCACCCCCCCTCGACCCGCCCCCCCAAACTTCAAATACGTGGGTGGTCTTCACTGCAAACCAGGCAAACCGCTGCCCGACGACCTGGAGGCCTTCTACGAGAGTTCAGGTGACGCCGGCGTGGTGGTCGTCTCCTTCGGCTCCATCGTTGCCAATGTCACCACGGGACTGAGTGATGTCATCGCCACCGCTCTCGGACGAATCCCACAAAAGGTCAGAAGGTCATCCACTTATACGTATCGAATTATATGTATGTGAATTCCTTAAATTTCAACTGCAGAATTTTTGCATAGCTTCGCGGTTAGCACACCTGCCTGACTTACTTGCTGCCTCCAGGGGGCAGCGTGTTGTAGATCTGCTGTCAACACACTAATTTCCCCAGAGTTGGATCGATGGTCACATGGTAACAACATGTTTATTAACGCGTGGTTCCCATCAGGTCATTTGGCGTTATAAAGGAACCAAACCCAAATCCTTGGCATCAAACACGAAGATCTGTGATTGGATCCCTCAGAACGACCTGTTGGGTAAAAACCACTCTGACGGTTCTGTGGTACGTAACGCAGCCCTTTCGTGTTCAAAGCTGGGTTTTCTACTTCCTGTCAGCTGACCCTCGGACCAGAGCATTTCTGACTCACGGGGGCACTAACGGGCTGTACGAAGCCGTGTACCACGCCGTGCCGCTGGTTGGAGTCCCACTGTTTGCAGATCAGCCTGAAAACCTTGCACGCCTTCAGTACCGTGGCGCCGCCATCGTCCTGGACATCCACAGCATGACGTCAGACGAGTTGACAGACGCACTTAACGCTGTTGTTAACGAGCCCAGGTAAGAGAGCAACGCCGCCTGATGTAACGACAGCAACGAGACATTCCCCGACCCCAAGGTAACGTTTCCGATGATGCGCAGGTACAAGAACAACATGCAGCGTCTGTCTGAGCTTCACCGCGACCGCCCGCTGTCGGCGCTGGACACGGCCGTCTTCTGGGTGGAGTTCGTGATGAAACACGGGGGTGCGCGCCACCTTCGGCTGGCGTCACGTGACCTGAACTGGGTCCAGTATCACAGCTTAGACGTGGCAGCTGCTCTGCTGGCTGTAATAATGAGCAGCTGCGCCCTCTGCTGGGCAGTCACGTGTTGTCTCCTGAGAAGATGCAGACGAAGGAAGTGGGAGAAGCAGGACTGATGAGAAGGTGGACGGCTGCAGGAATATCCACTACATTTTCATAATCAATCATTTTTCTGCTAAAACTGGACTTTGTTTTTGATAGAAAATAAAAAATAAAAGTTTTATTTGTACGAGTATTTGTATTTTAAAGTTTTGACATGGATAGAGAAATTAGAGCAGGACAACTACGGTCAGAAATACTGAGAGGGAAAAATAAAAAGGAGAAAAAGCAAGAGTGGATAAAACTGACCGGCCGGTGTTGGTTAATATCAAAATAATAATTAATTTTTTTAGTGTGTTTAGTATTCCTTCCTGAACCTTTTTCTTTCACTCACCTGTCCTCACCCTTGACACACTCACTTCCTGACAAAGTTCAACTTCCTGACATCTGTTCTACTGTTCCTTATCACGCTGCTTTCTCTGATGACCTTTGAACAGCTCTGCAGTGTTTTTATCCAATCACAGCACAGCTCTCATTCAGCGTTCCATAGACTTTAAAGTTCTGACCAAACCCCAGACATTCGCGTGTTTGGTCCAACCATGAAACAGTTCCTCCTCCCCTCCGTCCTGATCGTCCTCCTCGGCGTCGGTGTTGCCAGCGGCGGCCATGTCCTGGTGTTCCCAGGTGAGTACAGTCATTGGCTCAACATGCGGAGCATCATGGACGAGCTGGTGCGGCGGAACCACTCGGTTACTGTTCTAGTTTCCGACGCGTCGCCGTCCATCAACTACAACGACACCCGTGACGCGGCCAAGTTCAACTTCATCGTCTTTAAGGTAACGATCGCCGAGTGTTTGTCTACGTCCTCGTCTGCTTTGACTTTTCAAGGCCTTGTAAGGACTTCTCTCTCTCCTCCAGGTCCCGTTCAGCCGGGCAGAATATCACGCCATCACTGAAGACTTCATCCACTTCTCTCTCTATGAATCGGCGCACGCGTCCATATTTACAAAACTCAACGTGATCCGTTACTGGTTTCAGCGCTCGTCCAAGTTAGGGATGCTCCAGTGCGACGCCATGTTGAAGAACCAGGAGTTGATGGCAACCCTGAGGGATGCCAGGTTTGATGTCGTCCTGCTGGACCCCATGATAATGTGCGGCGACCTGGTGGCCGACGTGCTCGACCTGCCGCTCATCATCTCTCTACGCTTCTCGTTCGGTAACGTCATCGAGCGTCACTGCGGCCACGCGATAGCGCCGCCGTCGTACGTCCCGTCTGCACCGCTGCCTTACAGCGACAACATGACGTTCATGGAGAGAGTGGTCAACGTGGTAACTTACATGTTGACGTCTGCAATGACTGAGTGGTTCTGGAGCACAACGCTGGACAAACACTACAGCGAGATTAAAGGTCAGAGGTCAATGTCAGGAAATATAGTTTTTAATCCTGTTTCAAACATTTTTATTTCAGCAGTCATGGTCACAGTTTGATTCCCAGTTGAGAGCAGCAGCTCACACAGACTCCACTGTGCTGTGGAGCTGTACACCTCCAGCTCATTGAACCCTCCGTTCAAGCCTCTGATGATTCTATATTATTATTACCTTTATTTTGAAATACGATTAAATATTAATCCGGCGACTCCCACACCAGTCTAACCAAGCCCCGCCCTCTCTGGGTTAGAGGGCAGATTCATATCCTTTAAGTGTGACTCAGTCTAGACCAGTGGTTCCCAATGTGGGGGGCAGCCCCCCCCCAAGAGGACACAGAGCTCTCTCTGGGGAGGACTGAAGGGGGCAGCAAGCTCGGTAAATCTTAACATCAGTGGGGTAAAGAAAAGTCGACCGATCTACTGAAGGATGCTTTTGCGATCCTTGACAAAGGCTAGCCTCTCAGGACCACGTGTTTCTATGCTTTATTAAAATAAATCATAACGCAGTTCTTTATTCGTCCCACAATGAGGGAAATTTAAAGAGTGAGTCTTTGCAAGTGACACAGGCTGCCACAGGAGGCGCCATTTAGTACGCAGTTGCTCACTCACAGGCTGCCGCACAATGGAACCGGTATTAATAAGAATACTGCCTACAGTCCAGTCCAGTACAGTACAGTCCAGTCCAGT